ATACACACACATATACACACACGCCAACATACACACACACACACACACACACACTCAGAGTCTGTTTTTTAGCACCTGCAAAAACATGCTGTTTACATATTTGACAAGAATGCAGAGGCTCCTTTTGCCCCTGAAAAAAATCAAATTTCAAACACAACTTGACTGTTCATTTCTCCAAAAGACAACCATGAAGTTCCATTTCAAACCTGAAGCAGATAGTTGGTGCATGTGTACAGTAACCTGAGGGGAGTGAGGTGACTATTTCTGAGGAGAACATGAGCAGTGAAGATTCGCCTTGGAGCTAGAACAGGGACGTGCACATGATTATACAGGGGCAGGGGCTCAAGTTTTTTCCAGTCATTTATACAATATGGAAATTAATGTGAAATTAAACCACAAATATGTGTGATGAACTGTTTTTAAAACTTAAACTTCAAATAAAAATTGTAAACATTCAAAACATATGCAAATTTTTAACAAAGAACATAGTAATTTACCTCTATTTACATCAAAATGCAGGCAATGGCCCAGGCGTTCTTTGTAAAATTATTTACAAAACACTGTATAGTCTCACAAATGTCACTTTTTATTTATGCCACTACAAAAAAACATGATGTAAATGATGCATGATGTAAAACATGATGTAAAAAACTTGTGTAGATCCTCCTCTATGTCAGTCCATGTGTAACTTTTCCATAATTCTTTGTTTTTTGCAGCATTTTTGTTAGTGTAACTGCAGATTGTGCTGACAGTGTCTATGGCACAAAAAAAAAAAAAAAATTAAAATGCCTCAACATGAACCCCTGGTGGTCTCTGAGGGTGAAACCTGCTAACTGCTGCAGCTCTGTCAGCTTCAGTCTCCCATGCAGAGCTCTGAGCGCATGTGTGGCTCTGCACCCTTAGCAGCGTTGCTAACTCCTCAGTAAGGAAAGCCTGCTTCATGTCAGAGTCTCTAAACTCCAGAAGAAGTCGATAAAAGTCCCTTTCTTTCTAAAAAAAAGTCGTTAGGGGGTCTGAAAAGTCATTGAATCTAACAACAAAGTCGCTAGGTTTGCAACTACGTGTCCCAGACTGCATCCCTGCTGAGAGTCCCTCCCTCCCTTCTTATGTTGCAGGAAGAACGTAAGCGCCCGCCCCTTGTCAATCAGTCACCATATAATTTTGGATTGGTTGTTGTGGTGAAGTTTTCCACCAATAGGAGAGATGTTGTGGTGTGTTTTTTTTTTTTTTTTGGCAAGCCTTTTCCGCCTGTAAGACCTGTCGCTAATGTCTGCATGCTATGTTTTCCTGTCTCATACAGCGCGATCGAGCGCCGAACGTGATCAAAATAAGCAGAAAAAAAGTATCGCGGACATAATTTATCATAACTCTGGTTTTATTTGGCCTATCAACACAATTTAAAAACTGGTATATAGGTTGAGGTCCTCACTTTTGAGATAAGTTGAAACGGAGAGTCAACGAGGCTCCGTCTTGCAGCTACATCCGGTTAAATATGTCATGTGACTTGAACGCACACACAGACACACACACACGCGCACACACACACACACACACACACACACACACACACACACACACACACACACACACACTCAGAGTCTGGTTTTTAGCACCTGCAAAAACATGCTGTTTACATATTTGACAAGAATGCAGAGGCTCCTTTTGCCCCTGAAAAAAATCAAATTTCAAACACAACTTGACTGTTCATTTCTCCAAAAGACAACCATGAAGCTCCATTTCAAACCTGAAGCAGATAGTTGGTGCATGTGTACAGTAACCTGAGGGGAGTGAGGTGAATATTTCTGAGGAGAACATGAGCAGTGAAGATTCACCTTGGAGCTAGAACAGGGACGTGCACATGATTATACAGGGGCAGGGGCTCAAGTTTTTTCCAGTCATTTATACAATATGGAAATTAATGTGAAATTAAAACACAAAGTATTAATAGAAAGGTAATGACTGTCCTGTGTAGGTGACAGTGATATCCAATAGGCTAGGCACTCACCAGGCTGGCTGTGGCAAGTGTAAGTGAAAGCAACACGCACTGGCAGGAAGAACAGCAAACGCCGATGAAGGAAAAGGGTCTTTGCAGTGATGGGCGTTACCAGAGAGGGCGATGGCCAGAGGACACAAATTGGACGGGGAGGCAGCACGTTGGGGGGGGGGAGACGCGACACGGCTCGGGCCCGCCAGTGCCCCAACGGGGTCCTAGTTAGGGCCCGAGCGTAGCTGCTAAGCAGCTGCGAGAGCCCTCTTGTTCCTGCATGTTTCCTTCTTTTGTTATTTAGGGCCCGAGCGTAGCTGCTAAGCAGCTGCGAGAGCCCTATTATTCCCCAAGTGGTTTTTCTTTGTTTCTTTTTTCTTTTTCCTCCCCTTTGAACTGGAAAATGGCCCACTTCCCACTGGCGAAAACTCATGAAATTTGGCAGGACGACCGGGCCTGGTGAAAAATTTGATATTCTGAAGTCGCCCAAACAATACAATGCAAAATGGCTCCATAGCGCCCCCTAAGGTGAAAAATTCACCTGACGCCTGTACGCTTTGTCAAAATGACACAAAAATTGACACACACAAGTATCCCCATAAGATCTACAAAAAAGTCAGTGCGGGCGTATCTGTCAAATGTACGGTTAAAGGGTTATTGCGCATTTTTTGCCGATCCGCACACATTGGAATTTCGCTAACTCCTCCGAAGGCTTTAGTTCCACCGCCACCAAATTTGCTCAGGCCAATCTACACCCCATGGCCATTAAAAGTTATTCAAATCATGACGCTGCACCCCACGGTTTAGGTTCTAGGGGGCGCCAAAGATAACCCTAAAATCCACATATTTAAAAGTCTTATAACTTTTTATTTTTGTCCTCTCTGGCCTCCAAGTTTTCTAGGATGATGCAATGTCCAGCCATCAACACATTTGTGAAGGAATTTTTACTCCCTAAAAGAGCGCCCCCCCATGGCAGGAGAAAAAAGTCCATTTTTTCTTGTCCCATAAGGTGAAAATACACATTGTTGACTGTCATACCTGTATGCTTTGTCATATTGACACAAAATTTGACACACACATGTATCTCAATAAGATCTACGAAAAAGTCCATGCGCGCGTATCTGTAAAATGTACGGTTAAAGGGCTATTTTGCATTTTTTGCCGATTAGCACACATTGGAATGTGGCTAACTCCTCCTAAGGCTTTCGTCCCACTGAAACCAAATTTGCTCAGGCCAATCTACACCCCATGGCCATTCAAAGTTGTAAAAATCATGACGCTGCACCCCACGGTTTACGTTCTAGGGGGCGCCAAAGATGACCCAAATATCCACATTCTTAAAAGAATCCACCCCCCCCCCCCCCCCCCCCCCCCATCCCCCATCCCCCATCCCCCATGGCAGGAGAAACAGTCAAGTTTTTCCTGCCCATCACTCAATGGCTCAATTGCATTGCTCTCCCGGCAACACCGTAACGAGGAGCAACTTGCCGTTTGGATATATCCTAGCTGTGTTTGTGCCCTCACTCATGGTCCAGACTTTTTTCAAATAGGACATGTAGTTTGTCTGCAGCGAGTGTTTTGGTAGAAACTGCGCCTCCCATTCATTATAATGGGAAATGACCACAGACAAGTGCGCACACCATCTTTGGACCTTGAGTGTGACGCGATCGGGAGGGGGAGGCGGTCGCACTGGGGGCGGCGCAACGCGGCTCGGGCCCGCCAGTGCCCCAACGGGGCCCTAGTATTATTTTTCCTCCCCTTTGAACTGGAAAATGGCCCACTTCCCACTGGCGAAAACTCATGAAATTTGGCAGGACGACCAGGCCTGGTGAAAAATTTGATATTCCGAAGTCGCCCAAACAAGAAAATGCAAAATGGCTCCATAGCGCCCCCTAAGGTGAAAAATTCACCTGACGCCTGTACGCTTTGTCAAAATGACACAAAAATTGACACACACATGTATCTCAATAAGATCTACAAAAAAGTCAGTGCGGGCGTATCTGTCAAATGTACGGTTAAAGGGTTATTGCGCATTTTTTGCCGATCCGCACACATTGGAATTTCGCTAACTCCTCCGAAGGCTTTCGTTCCACCGGCACCACATTTGCTCAGGCCAATCTACACCCCATGGCCATTAAAAGTTATTCAAATCATGACGCTGCACCCCACGGTTTAGGTTCTAGGGGGCGCCAAAGATAACACTAAAATCCACATATTTCAAAGTCTTATAACTTTTTATTTTTGTCCTCACTGGCCTCCAAGTTTTCTAGGATGATGCAATGTCCAGCCATCAACACATTTGTGAAGGAATTTTTACTCCCCAAAAGAGCGCCCCCCCATGGCAGGAGAAAAAAGTCCATTTTTTCTTGTCCCCTAAGGTGAAAATACACATTGTTGAGTGTCACGCCTGTACGCTTTGTCAAAATGACACAAAAATTGACACACACATGTATCTCAATAAGATCTACAAAAAAGTCAATGGGCGCGTATCTGTCAAATGTACGGTTAAAGGGTTATTCCGCATTTTTTGCCGATTCGCACACATTGGAATTTCGCTAACTCCTCCGAAGGCTTTCGTTCCACCGGCACCACATTTGCTCAGGCCAAATTACACCCCATGGCCATTAAAAGTTATTCAAATCATGACGCTGCACCCCACGGTTTACGTTCTAGGGGGCGCCAAAGATAACCCAAAAATCCAAATTTTTAAAAGTCTTATAACTTTTTATTTTTGTCCTCACTGGCCTCCAAGTTTTCTAGGATGATGCAATGTCCAGCCATCAACACATTTGTGAAGGAATTTTTACTCCCTAAAAGAGCGCCCCCCCATGGCAGGAGAAAAAAGTCCATTTTTTCTTGTCCCCTAAGGTGAAAATACACATTGTTGACTGTCACGCCTGTACGCTTTGGCAAAATGACACAAAAATTGACAATCATGTGTATCTCAATTAGATCTACGAAAAAGTCAAGAGCGCGTATCTGTATAATGTACGGTAAAAGGGCTATTTTGCATTTTTTGCCGATTCGCACATATTGGAATTTCGCTAACTCCTCCTAAGGCTTTCGTCCCACTGACACCAAATTTGCTCAGGCCAATCTACACTCCATGGCCATTCAAAGTTGTAAAAATCATGACGCGGCACCCCACGGTTTACGTTTTAGGGGGCGCCAAAGATGACCCAAATATACATTACAGTAGACAAAGTAGTTTTGCCCACTGAGTGGCGCCAAAGGGACTTGTCTGTGGAGTCTGTGAGTCACTATTGGCCGTTTTTGACTACTTTAGATTTTACCTTTATATTTCCTCTTACAAAATTTTTACCTTGCCTTGCCTGGTATCATTTTTTTCAGCACAACCTCACCTGTGTCAATTTACAGTTATTTTATCATTTTGACATACTATATTTACACATTGGACCCAAATTCACACACAAAACATAAAATTCGAGTGGAAAAAAGTAACGTTTTTACTGTGAAAACCACAAATATGTGTGATGAACTGTTTTTAAAACTTAAACTTCAAATAAAAATTGTAAACTTCAAAACATATGCAAATTTTTAACAAAGAACATAGTGATTTACCTCTATTTACATCAAAATGCAGGCAATGGCCCAGGCGTTCTTTGTAAAATTATTTACAAAACACTGTATAGTCTCACAAATGTCACTTTTTATTTATGCCACTACAAAAAAACATGATGTAAATGATGCATGATGTAAAACATGATGTAAAAAACTTGTGTAGATCCTCCTCTATGTCAGTCCATGTGTAATTTTTCCATAATTCTTTGTTTTTTGCAGCATTTTTGTTAGTGTAACTGCAGATTGTGCTGACAGTGTCTATGGCACAAAAAAAAAAAATTTAAAATGCCTCAACATGAACCCCTGGTGGTCTCTGAGGGTGAAACCTGCTAACTGCTTCAGTCTCCCATGCAGAGCTCGGAGCGCATGTGTGGCTCTGCACCCTTAGCAGCGTTGCTAACTCCTCAGTAAGGAAAGCCTGCTTCATGTCAGAGTCTCTAAACTCCAGAAGAAGTCGATAAAAGTCCCTTTCTTTCTAAAAAAAAGTCGTTAGGGGGTCTGAAAAGTCATTGAATCTAACAACAAAGTCGCTAGGTTTGCAACTACGTGTCCCAGACTGCATCCCTGCTGAGAGTCCCTCCCTCGCTTCTCATGTTGCAGGAAGAACGTAAGCGCCCGCCCCTTGTCAATCAGTCACCATATAATTTTGGATTGGTTGTTGTGGTGAAGCTTTCCACCAATAGGAGAGATGTTGTGGTGTGTTTTTTTTTTCTTTTGGCAAGCCTTTTCCGCCTGTAAGACCTGTCGCTAATGTCTGCATGCTATGTTTTCCTGTCTCATACAGCGCGATCGAGCGCCAAACGTGATCAAAATAAGCAGAAAAAAAGTATCGCGGACATAATTTATCATAACTCTGGTTTTATTTGGCCTATCAAGACAATTTAAAAACTGGTATATAGGTTGAGGTCCTCACTTTTGAGATAAGTTGAAACGGAGAGTCAACGAGGCTCCGTCTTGCAGCTACATCCGGTTAAATATGTCATGTGACTTGAACGCACACACACACACGCACACACACACACACACACACACACACACACACACACACACTCAGAGTCTGGTTTTTAGCACCTGCAAAAACATGCTATTTACATATTTGACAAGAATGCAGAGGCTCCTTTTGCCCCTGAAAAAAATCAAATTTCAAACACAACTTGACTGGTCATTTCTCCAAAAGACAACCATGAAGCTCCATCCAAACCTGAAGCAGGCAGTTGGTGCATGTGTACAGTAACCTGAGGGGAGTGAGGTGAGTGCTTCTGAGGAGAACATGAGCAGTGAAGATTCACCTTGGAGCTAGAACAGAGACATGCACATGATTATACAGGGGCAGGGGCTCAAGTTTTTTCCAGTCGTTTATACAATATGGAAATTAATGTGAAATTAAAACACAAAGTATTAATAGAAAGGTAATGACTGTCCTGTGTAGGTGACAGTGATATCCAATAGGCTAGGCACTCACGAGGCTGGCTGTGGCAAGTGTAAGTGAAAGCAACACGCACTGGCAGGAAGAACAGCAAACGCCGATGAAGGAAAAGGGTCTTTGCAGTGATGGGCGTTACCAGAGAGGGCGATGGCCAGAGGACACAAATGGGACGGGGAGGCAGCACGTTGGGGGGGGGACGCGACACGGCTCGGGCCCGCCAGTGCCCCAACGGGGTCCTAGTCTTCTTTAGGGCCCGAGCGTAGCTGCTAAGCAGCTGCGAGAGCCCTATTATTCCTGATGGATTCTTCTTAGGGCCCGAGCGTAGCTGCTAAGCAGCTGCGAGAGCCCTCTTGTTCCTGCATGTTTCCTTCTTTCGTTATTATTTTTCCTCCGCTTTAAACTGGAAAATGGCCCACTTCCCACTGGCGAAAACTCAGGAAATTTGGCAGGACGACCGGGCCTGGTGAAAAATTCGATATTCTGAAGTCGCCCAAACAATAAAATGCAAAATGGCTCCATAGCGCCCCCTAAGGTGAAAATTCACATGACGGCTGTACGCTTTGTCATATTGACACAAAAATTGACACACACGTGTATCTCAATAAGATCTACAAAAAAGTCAGTGTGGGCGTATCTGTCAAATGTACGGTTAATGGGTTATTTTTCCATTTTTTGCAGATCTGCACACATTGGAATTTCGCTAACTCCTCCGAAGGCTTTCGTTCGACCGGCACCACATTTGCGCAGGCCAATCTACACCCCATGGCCATTAAAAGTTGTACAAATCATGACGCTGCACCCCACGGTTTATGTTCTAGGGGGCGCCAAAGATAACCCAAAAATCCACATTCTTAAAAGTGTTATAACTTTTTACTTTTGTCCTCACTGGCCTCCAAGTTTTCTAGGATGATGCAATGTCCAGCCATCAACACATTTGTGAAGGAATTTTTACTCCCCAAAAGAGCGCCCCCCAATGGCAGGAGAAAAAGGTCCATTTTTTCTTGTCTCCAAAGGTCAAAATACACATTGTCGAGTGTCACGCCTGTATGCTTTGTCATATTGACACAAAATTTGACAATCACGTGTATCTCAATAAGATCTACGAAAAAGTCAAAGGGCATGTATCTGTCAAATGTACGGTTAAAGGGCTATTTTGCATTTTTTGCTGATCCGCACACATTGGAATTTCACTAACTCCTCCGAAGGCTATCTTTCCACCGGCACCAAATTTGCTCAGGCCAATCTACACCCCATGGCCATTAAAAGTTGTACAAATCATCTTGCTGCACCCCACGGTTTGGGTTCTAGGGGGCACCAAATATAACCCAAAAATCCACATTCTTAAAAGTGTTATAACTTTTTATTTTTTTCCATACTGGCCTCCAAGTTTTTTAGGATGATGCAATGTCCAGCCATCAACACATTTGTGAAGGAATTTTTACTCCCCAAAAGAGCGCCCCCCCATGGCAGGAGAAAAAAGTCCATTTTTTCTTATCCCGAAAGGTGAAAATACACGTTGTTGAGTGTCACGCCTTTACGCTTTGTCATATTGACAAAAAAATTGACAATCATGTGTATCTCAATTAGATCTACGAAAAAGAGTCAAAGAGCGCGTATCTGTATAATGTACGGTTAAAGGGCTATTTTGCATTTTTTGCCGATTCGCACACATTGGAATGTGGCTATCTCCTCCTAAGGCTTTCGTCCCACCGATACCAAATTTGCTCAGGGCAATCTACACCCCATGCCCATTCAAAGTTGTAAAAATCATGACGCTGCACCCCACGGTTTACGTTCTAGGGGGCGCCAAAGATGACCCAAAAATCCACATTCTTAAAAGTCATTTTGGCCACTGCAGGAGTACAGAGTACTGCAGTTCTAGGGGGCGCCAAAGATGACCCAAAAATCCACATTCTTAAAAGTCTTTTTGGCCACTGCAGGAGTACAGAGTACTGCAGGATACACACACATATACACACACGCCAACATACACACACACACACACACACACACACACACACACACACACACACACACACTCAGAGTCTGTTTTTAAGCACCTGCAAAAACATGCTGTTTACATATTTGACAAGAATGCAGAGGCTTCCTTTTGCCCCCTGAAAAAAATCAAATTTCAAACACAACTTGACTGTTCATTTCTCCAAAAGACAACCATGAAGCTCCATTTCAAACCTGAAGCAGATAGTTGGTGCATGTGTACAGTAACCTGAGGGGAGTGAGGTGACTATTTCTGAGGAGAACATAAGCAGTGAAGATTCACCTTGGAGCTAGAACAGGGACGTGCACATGATTATACAGGGGCAGGGGCTCAAGTTTTTTCCAGTCATTTATACAATATGGAAATTAATGTGAAATTAAACCACAAATATGTGTGATGAACTGTTTTTAAAACTTAAACTTCAAATAAAAATTGTAAACTTCAAAACATATGCAAATTTTTAACAAAGAACATAGTAATTTACCTCTATTTACATCAAAATGCAGGCAATGGCCCAGGCGTTCTTTGTAAAATTATTTACAAAACACTGTATAGTCTCACAAATGTCACTTTTTATTTATGCCACTACAAAAAAACATGATGTAAATGATGCATGATGTAAAACATGATGTTAAAAACTTGTGTAGATCCTCCTCTATGTTAGTCCATGTGTAATTTTTCCATAATTCTTTGTTTTTTGCAGCATTTTTGTTAGTGTAACTGCAGATTGTGCTGACAGTGTCTATGGCAAAAAAAAAAAAAAACTGAAAATGCCTCAACATGAACCCCTGGTGGTCTCTGAGGGTGAAACCTGCTAACTGCTGCAGCTCTGTCAGCTTTAGTCTCCCATGCAGAGCTCGGAGCGCATGTGTGGCTCTGCACCCTTAGCAGCGTTGCTAACTCCTCAGTAAGGAAAGCCTGCTTCATGTCAGAGTCTCTAAACTCCAGAAGAAGTCGATAAAAGTCCCTTTCTTTCTAAAAAAAAGTCGTTAGGGGGTCTGAAAAGTCATTGAATCTAACAACAAAGTCGCTAGGTTTGCAACTACGTGTCCCAGACTGCATCCCTGCTGAGAGTTCCTCCCTCCCTTCTCATGTTGCAGGAAGAACGTAAGCGCCCGCCCCTTGTCAATCAGTCACCATATAATTTTGGATTGGTTGTTGTGGTGAAGTTTTCCACCAATAGGAGAGATGTTGTGGTGTGTTTTTCTTTTTCTTTGGCAAGCCTTTTCCGCCTGCAAGACCTGTCGCTAATGTCTGCATGCTATGTTTTCCTGTCTCATACAGCGCGATCGAGCGCCGAACGTGATCAAAATAAGCAGAAAAAAAGTATCGCGGACATAATTTATCATAACTCTGGTTTTATTTGGCCTATCAACACAATTTGAAAACTGGTGTATAGTTTGAGGTCCTCACTTTTGAGATAAGTTGAAACGGAGAGTCAACGAGGCTCCGTCTTGCTGCTACATCCGGTTAAATATGTAATGTGACTTGAACGCTGGGGAGCGTCAATCGACTGCAGAGCCAGCAGACAAAGTAGTTGTGGCCACTGAAAGGCACATATTTGTCATATGCTATAATCCTAACATATTTTAATGCTTTTTCTATTTAAACCTAATGGATCTAAGGTTTGACCTTCAAAATTTAGGAAGAATATGTTTTTGCAGTAATGACCCCGTTAAACAACCAGAGGTCCTTTCCTAAAGTTTATGGAAATTTTAGTGAAGGCCTTGGTTTCTTTCCTTGCAAAATGTATAGAAATAATAAAGCTAAATTCCATAAAAAGGTCTTGGCGTATTAGCAGTGATATAAAATAGTGGTTTGAATATGAATGAACAACAACAAAAAAAAAACATCAACAGAGCCTTTTTGAGTTGGGATTCTTTCATTATCACACAAAAACAGACATAGAAAGACATCTAAAGGGTAAGGGAATGATCAGCCCTCCTAACTCTCAGATGAATCTTCAAAATTCACCTCAGAAATATGCTTATTATTCTTCTCAGAGTACTGCAGGATATACACACACACACTCAGAGTCTTTTTTTTAGCACCTGCAAAAACATGCTATTTACATATTTGACTAGAATGCAGAGGCCCCTTTTTGCCCCTGAAAAAAATCAAATTTCAAACACAACTTGACTGCTCATTTCTCCAAAAGACAACCATGAAGCTCCATCCAAACCTGAAGCAGGCAGTTGGTGCATGTGTACAGTCACCTGAGGAAAGTGAGGTGACTACTTCTGAGGAGAACATGAGCAGTGAAGATTCACCTTGGAGCTAGAACAGGGACGTGCACATGATTATACAGGGGCAGGGGCTCAAGTTTTTTCCAGTCATTTATACAATATTGAAATTAATGTGAAATTAAAAAACAAGTATTAATAGAAAGGTTATGACTGTCCTGTGTAGATGACAGTGATATCCAATAGGCTAGGCACTCACGAGGCTGGCTGTGGCAAGTGTAAGTGAAAGCAACACGCACTGGCAGGAAGAACAGCAAACGCCGATGAAGGAAAGAGTCTTTGCAGTGATGGGCGTTACCAGAGAGGGCGATGGCCAGAGGACGCGAATGGGACGGGGAGGCAGCGCGTTGGGGGGGGCAGCGCGACACGGCTCGGGCCCGCCAGTGCCCCAACGGGGCCCTAGTTTCTTCTTCTTCTTCTTATTATTTTTCTGCCCCTTTGAACTGGAAAATGGCCCACTTCCCACTGGTGAAAAGTCATGAAATTTGGCAGGACGACCGGGCCTGGTGAAAAATTCGATATTCTGAAGTCGCCCAAAAAATCAAATGCAAAATGGCTCCATAGCGCCCCCTAAGGTGAAAAATTCACATGATTGAGTGTCACGCCTGTACGCTTTGTCAAAATGACACAAAATTTGACACACACGTGTATCTCAATAAGATCTACAAAAAAGTCAGTGCGGGCGTATCTGTCAAATGTACGGTTAAAGGGCTATTTCGCATTTTTTGCCGATCCGCACACATTGGAATTTCGCTAACTCCTCCGAAGGCTTTCGTTCCACCGGCACCAAATTTGCTCAGGCCAATCTACACCCCATGGCCATTAAAAGTTGTACAAATCATGACGCTGCATCCCACGGTTTACGTTCTAGGGGGCGCCAAAGATAACCCAGAAATCCACATTCTTAAAAGTCGTATAACTTTTTATTTTTGTCCTCACTGGCCTCCAAGTTTTCTAGGATGATGCAATGTCCAGCCATCAACACATTTGTGAAGGAATTTTTACTCCCCAAAAGAGCGCCCCCCCATGGCAGGAGAAAAAAGTCCATTTTTTCTTGTCTCCTAAGGCGAAAATTCACACTATTGACTGTCACGCCTTTACGCTTTGTCATATTGAAACAAAAATTGACACACACATGTATCTCAATAAGATCTACAAAAAAGTCAGTGCGGGCGTATCTGTCAAATGTACGGTGAAAGGGCTATTTCGCATTTTTTGCCGATCCGCACACATTGGAATTTCGCTAACTCCTCCGAAGGCTTTCGTTCCAAAGGCACCACATTTGCTGAGGCCAATCTACACCCCATGGCCATTAAAAGTTGTACAAATCATGACGCTGCACCCCACGGTTTACGTTCTAGGGGGCGCCAAAGATAACCCAAAAATCCACAGTCTTAAAAGTCTTATAACTTTTTATTTTTGTCCTCACTGGCCTCCAAGTTCTCTAGGATGATGCAATGTCCAGCCATCAACACATTTGTGAAGGAATTTTTACTCGCCAAAAGAGCGCCCCCATGGCAGGAGAAAAAAGTCCATTTTTTCTTGTCTCCTAAGGCGAAAATACACATTGTTGACTGTCACGCCTTTACGCTTTGTCAAAATGACACAAAATTTGACACACACATGTATCTCAATAAGATCTACAAAAAAGTCAGTGCGGGCGTATCTGTCAAATGTACGGTTAAAGGGTTATTTCGCATTTTTTGCCGATCCGCACACATTGGAATTTCGCTAACTCCTCCTAAATCTTTTGTCCCATCGGCTTCAAATTTGCTCAGGTCAATCTACACCCCATGGCCATTCAAAGTTGTACAAATCATGACGCTGCACCCCACAGTTTACGTTCTAGGGGGCGCCAAAGAGGACCCAAATATCCACATTTTTAAAAGTCTTATAACTTTTTATTTTTGTCCTCACTGGCCTCCAAGTTTTCTAGGATGCTGCAATGTCCAGCCATCAACACATTTGTGAAGGAATTTTTCTCCCCAAAAGAGCGCCCCCCCATGGCAGGAGAAAAAGTCAAGTTTTTCCTGCCCATCGCTCAATGGCTCAAACGCATCGCTCTCTCTGCAAAACCGAAAGGAGGAGCAACTTGCCATTTGGATATATACTAGCTGTGTTTGTGCCCTCACTCATGGTCCAGACTTTTTTCAAATAGGACATGTAGTTTGTCTGCAGCGAGCGTTTTGGTAGAAACTGCGCCTCCCATTCATTATAATGGGAAATGACCACAGACAAGTGCGCACACCATCTTTGGACCTTGAGTGTGACGCGATCGGGAGGGGGAGGCGGTCGCGCTGGGGGCGGCGCGACGCGGCTCGAGCCCGACAGTGCCCCACCGGGGCCCTAGTTAGGGCCCGAGCGTAGCTGCTAAGCAGCTGCGAGAGCCCTCTTGTTCCTGCATGTTTCCTTCTTTCGTTATTATTTTTCCTCCGCTTTAAACTGGAAAATGGCCCACTTCCCACTGGCGAAAACTCAGGAAATTTGGCAGGACGACCGGGCCTGGTGAAAAATTCGATATTCTGAAGTCGCCCAAACAATAAAATGCAAAATGGCTCCATAGCGCCCCCTAAGGTGAAAATTCACATGACGGCTGTACGCTTTGTCATATTGACACAAAAATTGACACACACATGTATCTCAATAAGATCTACAAAAAAGTCAGTGCGGGCGTATCTGTCAAATGTACGGTTAATGGGTTATTTTGCATTTTTTGCAGATCTGCACACATTGGAATTTCGCTAACTCCTCCGAAGGCTTTCGTTCCACCGGCACCACATTTGCGCAGGCCAATCTACCCCCCATGGCCATTAAAAGTTGTACAAATCATGACGCTGCACCCCACGGTTTACGTTCTAGGGGGCGCCAAAGATAACCCAAAATCCACATTCTTAAAAGTCTTATAACTTTTTATTTTTGTCCTCACTGCCCTCCAAGTTTTCTAGGATGATGCAATGTCCAGCCATCAACACATTTGTGAAGGAATTTTTACTCCCCAAAAGAGCGCCCCCCCATGGCAGGAGAAAAAAGTCAATTTTTTCTTGTCCCCTTACATGAAAATACACATTGTTGAGTGTCACGCCTGAACGCTTTGTCATATTGACACAAAAATTGACAATCATGTGTATCTCAATTAGATCTACGAAAAAGTCAAAGAGCGCGTATCTGTATAATGTACGGTTAAAGGGCTATTTCGCATTTTTTGCCGATTCGCACACATTGGAATGTGGCTATCTCCTCCTAAGGCTTTCGTCCCACTGATACCAAATTTGCTCAGGGCAATCTACACCCCATGCCCATTCAAAGTTGTAAAAATCATGACGCTGCACCCCACGGTTTACGTTCTAGGGGGCGCCAAAGATGACCCAAAAATCCACATTCTTAAAAGTCATTTTGGCCACTGCAGGAGTACAGAGTACTGCAGTTCTAGGGGGCGCCAAAGATGACCCAAAAATCCACATTCTTAAAAGTCATTTTGGCCACTGCAGGAGTACAGAGTACTGCAGTTCTAGGGGGCGCCAAAGATGACCCAAAAATCCACATTCTTAAAAGTCTTTTTGGCCACTGCAGGAGTACAGAGTACTGCAGGATACACACACATATACACACACGCCAACACACACACACACACACACACACACACACACACACACACACACACACTCAGAGTCTGTTTTTTAGCACCTGCAAAAACATGCTGTTTACATATTTGACAAGAATGCAGAGGCTTCCTTTTGCCCCTGAAAAATATCAAATTTCAAACACAACTTGACTGTTCATTTCTCCAAAAGACAACCATGAAGCTCCATCCAAACCTGAAGCAGATAGTTGGTGCATGTGTACAGTAACCTGAGGGGAGTGAGGTGACTATTTCTGAGGAGAACATGAGCAGTGAAGATTCACCTTGGAGCTAGAACAGGGACGTGCACATGATTATACAGGGGCAGGGGCTCAAGTTTTTTCCAGTCATTTATACAATATGGAAATTAATGTGAAATTAAAAAACAAAGTATTAATAGAAAGGTAATGACTGTCCTGTGTAGGTGACAGTGATATCCAATAGGCTAGGCACTCACGAGGCTGGCTGTGGCAAGTGTAAGTGAAAGCAACACGCACTGGCAGGAAGAACAGCAAACGCCGATGAAGGAAAGGGTCTTTGCAGTGATGGGCGTTACCAGAGAGGACGATGGCCAGAGGACGCGAATGGGACGGGGAGGCAGCGCGTTGGGGGGGGCAGCGCGACACGGCTCGGGCCCGCCAGTGCCCCAACGGGGCCCTAGTCTTATTATTTTTCTGCCCCTTTGAACTGGAAAATGGCCCACTTCCCACTGGTGAAAAGTCATGAAATTTGGCAGGACGACCGGGCCTGGTGAAAAATTCGATATTCTGAAGTCGCCCAAAAAATCAAATGCAAAATGGCTCCATAGCGCCCCCTAAGGTGAAAAATTCACATGATTGAGTGTCACGCCTGTACGCTTTGTCAAAATGACACAAAATTTGACACACACGTGTATCTCAATAAGATCTACAAAAAAGTCAGTGCGGGCGTATCTGTCAAATGTATGGTTAAAGGTTTATTTCGCATTTTTTGCCGATCCGCACACATTGGAATTTCGCTAACTCCTCCGAAGGTTTTCGTTCCACCGGCACCACATTTGCTCAGGCCAATCTACACCCCATGGCCAATAAAAGTTGTACAAATCATGACGCTGCACCCCAAGGTTTACGTTCTAGGGGGCGCCAAAGATAACCCAAAAATCCACAGTCTTAAAAGTCTTATAACTTTTTATTTTTGTCCTCACTGGCCTCCAAGTTCTCTAGGATGATGCAATGTCCAGCCATCAACACATTTGTGAAGGAATTTTTACTCGCCAAAAGAGCGCCCCCCCATGGCAGGAGAAAAATGTCA